GTAGAGATGATGTCACAATCTCAACACCACACATTAGATATATATATATATATATATATATATATATATATATATATATATATTAAGTAACTTCAAAGTTATATTAAAGATAATTGTTTTAATAAAAACTTTTATATTGGAAGTATATATCTATTAAACTAGTAATTTCAGAATGTGAAATAAAGAGTTATATTTATTATATATAATTAAAATTCACAATAAATTATATAAATAACTTAATAATTCTTTACTAAAAAAGACTCTCTTTATTTAGTTACGATGGAGTTTAATTACGGGAAGAACGGATCCCCTCTTATCTTATCCTCTTTCTCGTACAGCATTGTTCCTTCCTATCGTTTTACAGTACGTTTACTCATATTATCACAAAACACATTATAAAAATATGATTCGAACAAAAACCTTTTATACAATCGTCATCTAGTCCTGATGATAAATGGGGGAAAATAGCTATAATTGAAGAGAAAGGAAAAGAAAAAGTATATATATATTATATCATATACCAAAATCGTTGAAGTATATATTAATTAATAATCTATTATTACTTTTGGTTTAATCGCTTTCAGTTTGATGCGATCAATCAATTAAGCATACACATGATAAGTGTGTAGCGTAAGCCATGATGACACTGCTATTAAACTAATTCCTATTAATCAATTGCAGCATTAACTATATATTATATTTGCCCATTACCATCGTCATTATCTATTCAAAGCCATAAGCAATTTGGTTTTAGTTGACCTATATCAAGCGTATATATATATACACCGAAAAACCAATAAATAGATGGTTAGAGAGAAAATGAAATTAACCTTCATCTTTTAAATAAGATATTAGGTTTAAATTTTGTAAATGAAAAAAATATAACTAAAAAAGATTATTTTAAAGTTATTCTCAGTGAAGTTCTTGTTATTGTAACAGGCTAAAAATATAAACAAAATCACAATTTTTTAAAATGTGTAATAATACTGTCTTAAAGAATTTGTCTGTAATAACCGTGCAAGTCTCTGATGATGCAACTGAAAATTTGAGATATACATGTTACCCATTTTTGGCCATTAATTAACATACTAACAACACTAAAATTAGTAATTGTTTGGAGGTCAAAAATTGAAGAAAAATGGAGGATCTGTGTAGAATAGAAGAGGATAAACATAGATCTAAAGATTGAATGAGATCTAGACAACAAGGATGCATGGGTTCACATGCTCTATATTGGTATGAAATTAGGGGATCGTCCTGACCATGTGAAGTTGTGAAGTATGTTACATGTTCCCACACCACAAATTTAATGCATTTGAAAAGCACGGTGGCATATATATCTGGGGGTGTTGGTGGAATATTGTAGTGGAAAACGAGAGCTCCACACAGAGAAGGGAAAGGTAGAAGAATTCCAAGGTGGGTTTGTCCCTCAATAAGAACATAATGTTTGCACAAGGGCCAAAGGGTGTGTCACAGTGTCCAAGTGCTAGTCCTTATCACAACCGCTGGTTAGTGCAATAGCAATTATATGTCACACACAACCATTTAATTTCATTGCCATGGCATTGTTTGGTCCACACATTAATTGCTGTTTTTCAGCACAGAACCTACTTCACTTTCAGTTTGACTGTGACCTTGGGGTGAGGATTTCTTTTCATCATGGAAATCTGATGCATGAGGAATTAATCTCCAATAGGGTGTACATATATATGTATATAATACACTTCTCCATTTCTATCTTTCTATTTTTTCTTCTCTTCAAAATAGTTAGAGACTAATCACTTTTATGATGACCTAAAGATTATTAAGTTGAGTTTTATTTCTCCTCTCAATCAAGTTTTTTCCATAGACACAGCAGGATAATCAAATTTTTATCAGCATGTTTAGTGTTGTGTTTGAGAAAAAAGTTTTGAACGAAAAATTCAAATAAATAGTGAAGATATAATATGTAATTTTTGGGTGTTTTATGCATTTGACGTGAAAATTATCACATCTACCAAGTTGGTGTTCTGTTTGTATGTTTGTGTTAGCTTTTGATGTCTTTAATAATGAGAAATGGAAGTGGGGTCCATAAAACAAGTGGTTGCGTAGGAAGCACTGCGTTTGCAAACAAACCCAACCCAACCAATTATTAAAGGCGTGGAAATTTCACCCCTCTTTCATATTGTGTTACTACTATAAGTCTATAATCATATTTCATCTAATAAAAACAAAACCAACTCTTTTGGGAAGAAAAAGTGAACATTATTTAGGGTAGGGTTTTGTTGTACATGCTTGCATGCATATGTGCTTGGACTTTAGAGTTGTCACACTTTGGAATCAGAATACCTCACTAGATACGCTATATATGGAGAACCTTGACATAATTAGCCACAAGAATAATTCTCCCATCCTTTCCCTTTTTTTCTTTTTTCTTTATGTGCTTCCCTTTATTGTCAAGCTGCTTCACTGTATCAATTTTTAATTAAATTTATTATTATTATTGCACCTTGTATTTTGCTAAAGTAAAGTGTATTATAAGTTCCTTCATCCTCTCCTCAGTATCATATTGATTCAATCTTGTCCAACATTATCAAGATACGCTAAATCAAGCCAAGTAGGGCAGTAATATATTCATTAAATTTTATTTTATATATGAGTGGATATTGTTATCGCAAGCTTGAGAACTTTGCCACTAGGAGGAACTAATATTTTTCGGTGAAATTAATATTCATGCACCATATTTCAGTGGGCGCGCGCACACCATAAACAAGAAATGATGATGATCCATTTTAATTTTTAAGCAAATTATAATAAGTGATATATTACTCAATGCATGAGAAAAACCAAATTACTAACAATGGCTTTTATTTTCGGGTGAACCTTATGATTATTTTTTGTCCATGTACAATGCACTGAGATTATAAATTGTCATATCTGAATGACTAAAGCATAAAACATGCATATACCGAAAAATATATTATAGGACCATTTTTTTTTTTTTATCATATAAACTATATAAATTTTTAACATTTCATATTAATTTAAAATTATTCATTATTACTTCGAAGATTGATGTAATAAATACTTAAAACATTTAAAACTGATTAAATTAATTATATTATTATCCATAAATAATTAAATCATTATTTAATTATATTTTATATAACATTTTGAGTAACTTAAGAATATCAAGTTCTCTAGGAGAAAAAAAAATTAATGATCTAGGTTGAGAAAATACAAAATTGATACGTACACTTCAAGGTTTTCTCTATTGTTAAATTAAAAATTGTCACGTCAATGTTATTATTATCTGGTTTAAAGGGTATAAAAGAACGAAAAAGAAATCATATTTGAGCCAATGGGGTATTTGTTTTGGTGATCTCCAAAGTATGCGCTCATATGTTCCTACCAATACGGTAATACCATCCAAAAATACCTTCACAGCAAAATAAAAATAATAATAAAAAATATGTTAACATCAAAATAAAACAATCATTATATAAAGCAAGACTTATACATCGACTAATAAATTGATATGTCTGACTCGATCTCTTTAATTAAGTTTGAATTTATTCGATAAAAATACGTAATTAAAATTAGAGGCTATTAAAAGAATTTAACAAAAATTAACCATCGATAAATTTAATCGATATTAACATCAATAATATATAATTAAAAAATATATATGAAGTGAGTCTTATAAATCTAATATTTGGTATGTTGACCTAATCAGTACTAGTCGGCAGGTAATGGTACATATAATAGAAGCTGTAATTGAAATTAGGAAGCTATTTTATGAGGTAATCTTCCAAGCTGTACCTTCCTTGCATGATGTACATTTCACGCATCACTTAGCTTCATAAATCAGAAAAACAATATTATGACGTACAGAGATATTGTATAACTCTATTATTTAAATATTAAATAATTAATATCATATTTAATGTCTTATATAACTTTTTTTTTTTTTTATGTTTTATTCATTTTTATTTTACATAAACGCTTATTAAAAATACTCTCTTGTAACCAAAAATAAATAAAAATTCTCTCATAGAAAAGAGATTAAAAGTATCTCCCTTCAATTACAATGGAACATTTTGAGTTTGTCCAAATAGCAATTTCACATCACCAACAACGACCCGGTTGAAGCATATTGCACCCATAAGAAAAACATGGCTTCAGAAAAAAGCTAAATTCTCATTGCTTTTATCTTTTTTAAATAAAATCTTTTTTTTCTCAATTTTGCTTTTGGGAGAATTTTTAACATATAATTTTTTGTAATCATGGAGTAGGTGGATCCTCTCCATATTATATATATATATTAAAATTCTATTTCATTTTAATCAGTCCTTAAGTTTAATTTTTAAATAAAATACTTCAAAATTTAATTTCATCTCCATTACTTCTTAAACTTTAAATTAACAATGAAACAAAAAATACAACCATTATTTATCTTTAATCTCTATAATTTAATTACAATAACAGTACATATCTTCTTTTTAAATTAATAGAAATAATTATTTAGAAAAATAAAATATGGTTTAATAATGCAAAAAAAAAAAAATTATACACTGTCATCTAATTACATATAATAAATTTATTAATTTTCATAATAACTACTAAACAAGTAGAAAATTATATCAAATATGATTTATAATTAATTAATAGCGTAAATAAATTTACATTGACATAAGCCATAATAATATTGAAGTCTTTAATAAAGAGTAAAATTCAAAGATTAACTAAAAAAGAAATAGAATTAAAGGATTTTTTAATGTTTAAAATGAATGGGTCTTGTAATATTTATATAAACGTGTGAATAATTGTTTTGGAAGACCAACAGATATTGGCTAAGAAGAGAGTCACGACATCACAATGCTTAGCTGGCAATCCAATCATCAATGGCCAAACATTCACACATTCAATATAAATTTTGTCGACGTGGATTATACCATAGTTCACCTCCTTAAAGCTTCAATCATTGATGTTCTTTCTCTCTCTACAAAGTGCCTTTCTCTTTCTCTCTCCTCCAACTTCCCCACTATTCATATATACTTAGCAGTGCAGATCCCCTACAGAAGCCCAATAAAATCCCTTTCTTTGCTCGCATAAGATTTGGGTTTCTTCAAAGTTTCCTTTTTTTTCTCTCGCCCCCCCAAAAAAAGTATAACTTTGTTTAATTCTTTGAAGGAGGTTCAAGGAAGCAAAAGGTGTTCTGTTTTAAGTTTCTTTGAAATGGTTTTCATGTCTGAGATATTCATGCCTGAAGAAGAAAAAATTGAGGAAGGAGAGTGGGAGAAAGAGAGATAAGAAGAAGAAGAGAAGAATACCCAGCTAGCAGAAGTAGAGAAAAAGATAAACAATTGATTTGATTCATTGTGATCTGCTTCTGCTGGTAATCCTCATCATTTTTCATCTTCAATTTGTTTGCTTATATAATTTCATCACGTCTTTTTGTTCAATTGATTTGGTTGAATTTTTTTTTTTTTCTTCATTGGCTGAAACACTTCATTATTTGTTGAATAAATGAACCAATAGGTTCATTGATCTTGTGAAAAACCTTATGTGTGTCTGTTGAAGCATATGCCTATTCTTGAAAAAAAAAAATTGTCTTTCTTTGTTATGTCAATTACCAGCAGAATGATATTAACATGTTTGGTGTTCATTGTTTCTTGTTCACAGGGTGGTTTGCAATGTCTGCACCGATGATCATTGACCCTATGGTGATATCGGCACCAGAAACTCAATCAGCAGCTAGCATACTAGTTGCACAAAGTGAAGTTGAATTTGCCGTGTGTGACTGTTGTGGGCTAACAGAAGAGTGCCCCCCAGCCTATATAGAAAGAATCAGGGAGAGGTACTATGGAAAATGGGTTTGTGGGTTGTGTGCTGAGGCTGTTAAGGATGAAATTGTAAGGTCTGAGAGGCTTGTTAGCACAGAAGAAGCAATGGCCAAGCATATGAACTTCTGCAAAAAGTTCAAGGCATCAGGGCCTCCACCAAATCCAACAGTGCACTTGATATCAGCCATGAGACAGATTCTAAGAAGGACTTTGGATTCCCCTAGAGTAAGGTCCACACCAAGTAGTCCAACTATGACTAACACAGAAATTCATGGTTCTGTTCTCACAAGGTCTGAGAGCTGCTTCTCTACCCTCTCTGGTTCATGAAGGGTTAGGATGACATGGAAGGAGGAAGCAGAAATAAGGACAGAAAAATATAAGCTGAAAAATTAGATGTTCAATTGTAGTTTTGTCCAGTACAGAACTTTCAATCTGTTTGTTAGAAATTGGAACATAATTTGGTCAAGAATTTTGCTTCACTGATACCAGCTACCTTGTTTTCTATTCCATTTAATCGTTTGAAATAAAAAAATTATGTTCATAATTGAAGACAAATATTTCACAATTGGTTGGTGCAGATGAAGAGAAAATAGGACAATGTTGGCCCTGTTGTGGAATCCTAAAAAATCTCAAAAAAATGTGATAATGTAGTTCAACTAATCTTGTCTGTACTCAAATTGATTAAACTGGGCTGAAATCAGTTACGGTTATTTTTTAAGTGAAAAGAAAAATAAATACACCAATAATTGAGTTCTCAAAACTGGCTTAAAAAACTAATCATTGGTGAGATATAAAATTGGCTGGTCTACTTTTAGTGCAATGCACAAATGAAGCTTCTAACATTCATTTTAATTGAGTCAATTACACAAGACAAGACACAGAAAAAACCATAGGTGGTTGGAAGTTGAAACAGTCATGAATATCTCTATAGTGCTTAGAAACCTGAAGCAGTAATTCTGTGTGCTGAGTTTTCCATAAAATATTCACTCATGCAATGACATATATCATGTTCTTAAAATACAGAAGGAGCAAATCACGGGTGTATACAAAGTATTAATACATTCATTTCATTGACGAAGTCTATTGTTCTCCCTTCTCATGTATGACAAACTTAAACAAAATTTCTTTTAGCTTTTATTCTCTTTATGGCACATCAGCATTGAATATACCCTTTTCCCTATATAAATGGTAACAAGCTGTAAATACAACCGTGACATGGAAACAAAAGTAGATGGGTGGCTACTATTGTACAAAGAGGGACCAAGGGCCACAGGGAATGATTATGCCTTAGGAATGCAAAGTGGTTGGATGGTCTCATCCATTTGTGATTTTCTTAAGTGTGCTCGTTTAGAATTTAGATCTTTCTGGTGCCACACGAGTGTGATGACAATATGCACTAGGATTTTAGTAAAATTAACTTTAAACTATTCGATGTAACTGAAACATATATTTAAACTATTCAATCTTACTATATATGAAATTGTTTATGAGTGTTAAAGAAAAAAGCACCAAGTTTTTGTCTCGCTACAAACAAAACAATTGCCAGAGAGAATTGCTGTTCTGTGATTCTGCATGATAGAACATTCTGGAACACAAGGACTGACGTGTCAGGTGGAACTTGGTTTGTTTCTATGATGATCAGCGGCAGCCCCCACTTAGCTCCAAATGACTTAATTTTCAATGAACATATCATTACTATTTGTGTGTCCTGAGCTAAACTTGGTCATGCAAAATAAAACTACACATCTCAAGTAGAAACCAGTCACCTCTAGCTGTTTGAAGGTTCCAACACATCTGGCACTTTGTAGAAACTTGGACTTGGACGTTATCTGAGTTTCATTCAACAACATAAAAAGTGTTAATTTTGCTAGAAAAAAATATACTTGTAGAGAAGCTTCATTCTAATAAACAAAAACAAGGTAAAGTGAAATTGTTGTCAGCATTTTTTCTTGTATCAAGAACCATACATTTTTAACTTTTCTAGTTTTGGAAAAAATGAGAAGCAAAATAATTAGTCAATCCACTCTCTTTATTTGTATAAATTACATATATCTCATATTAAAAAAAAATCTTATAAATCACTATGATGACATAACGTTCCTTTCAAATATTTAATAGAGTTGTAAACTCATAACTCGAATTCCAAGATTACAAATTAAGTTGGGACAATTTTATAGCAATCGATCTATGTACTCTAGTCTCTCCACTTTCACATGCAACTTGGTTGTCTTACGTTGCAGTGAGAGTTGACAAGTGAGACCAATGGTTGTGTTACTCTTGTCAATATTGGTGTACTTGGGAAATATTTGAGTGGATGTTATCGCCAGCTAGGATGATAGTTAATATAATATATAAAAAAATGACTGTCTTATTCTTTGAAAAGGGTTGGTAGTTTCTCCTCTTGCACAAAAATAACGCCTAAACCACCCCCAACAAGCGTCCAAACGCTCCCATCAATTGTGCACATTATTTTTTCCCTTCCTTTCCGGGAAAGTAGTTTATCTAATTCTTGAATAAGATAAAAGGGTCCTTCACATTGCTCTATGCACACTGATTAGCGATGATTAGCTCAAGAGATTAATTTAATGGGCTGATTAGAATTAAAAAATGGCCTCATGAAGCATTCATTTCTTTGTCATATGTCAGACTTGTTGTTCAAACCAAGTGGGCAATTATTAAGTTGCAAAATTAGGCCATCATAATAATGTTTCCCGTGATTGTAGGTTGTCAACGAATATGTTCTAACCAGAATTAGGCCTGCGGTTAAGCCGTAGAATCTACAAGAAAATTTACCAGAAATTGCAGGTAGCCAATTTTGACTTTGTCTCTTGTAGGATTCTAGACAAGTCCTTAGATGAAAAACAAACCACTCTATTGACTTCAAATGAGACTTGAGACTACAGGATTAAGAAAACGATAATAACTTGTGAATTATATTTGTACTAACGTGTAATGTCACAATCTTAATTTAATTTCTTGTGTCTTCTACTTACACCAATCAATTTGGTAAAATATATAGAGATCCCTTTACTATTAACCGTGCACCATTAAGAAATTAACTTCAAAAGATTATGTGGTCTCATGACATGTCAATATTTTATATAAATACACTTCTAAAACCGTCTTCTTCTTCTTTTTTTTCTTTTCTTCTTTCTCCTTACAGAAGCAGCTAATGAAAACAGCATCCATAATCAGATGAAAAATTATTGTTTTGGTTTCTAATTTTATTTTAAATATTTCATCTCAAATTCATCGTTTGGATTTTATATATAACATGCTTTATCATAATTATATCTTAACAGCGTTGTTAATAATTCTCACGTGATAATATTGTTAAGTTTGTTTGTTTAGAGAAATATGGAATATGAATAAGAAAAGTTATACGATGAAAACAAAAAACTAACGATTTTTTTTTTAAATAAAATTGTTTTCAAAATAATAATCTCATAAAAATGGCAGGCTTCAAATCTGATATCATCCAACCAATAATGATAGTTGATACTTTCGGCCCAAAACATATGAAACCAGAGAGTAAGGATAAGGTTGGGAACTTGGGCTAAGCCTAATGTTTAATTTTTTGATTCTTCTTCTGGGCCAGGTTGGAGTTGACCCTGAACTAGTTTGAGACCGAGAAAAATTGAATTAGTCCTTTACATGGTGGTTATGTAGCTAGTTTATATATACTATTTTATCTTAAAATTTAAAATAATTCATCTTTAAAATAAATTCATTTATTGACATATATGTATTTTATTTTAAAATTTTAAAAAATTCATCTTTGAAATGAATATGTAAATAATTTTATACTTTTTATATGATTTATTATTATTATTATTATTCATTGATCCTATCAGATTGATTTGAACATTGAAATGTTAAAAGCCTCTATAGACAGGATGATATTGATGACAACCATCGCATAGTAACACCAAATGGGTGACAAGGAAGAAAAGTCAGACAAGGACATACAATCCCTCTTACAATCATAAACGCTCATCCCTACTAACTAGAAAACCGCATACATGATACAAACCCATACAAATTATCTAATAGGTGTAACTACCACACCCACACCACCGTGGAGTAAAAAATTAGAAGAAAAAGCTCCCTAGAGTTTAATAGGAATCAACGTGCACAAGGCAGGATATATAGATAGCATTTAAACCACCCCCACATCAAGAGAACCGCAGAGTATGTTACTGGTAGTACATCATTTGCTGTGCAGCTGCAACATTCTGGAACCCACCATCGTATATTGCCTGGCTGGTTCCAATGGCTGCCTGTTTAAGAGGATGTTGCCCTTGAGGATGCATCAAGGCATGGACACCACCCATATTGCTCATTGCCAGCAGTCGTTCATACGCCAAAAGATCTGTTGCAGACAGACCAGGTCACCAGGCAGAGATGCAGCAGCAGGCAGGGGAAGGGGATTTGATGCAGTTCCTGGCGGAGTGGGCTTGCTCCACCAAGACCACTGTAATTTAAGTAATAATAACAATGGTCAGAATTGAAGTGCAACAAATATTCCAGATGTGTTTGGATGTGGTATTTACAGAAAGCAACTAGTAACGGCATCAGAAGTTCAGTGAAATACACACCTTAATTTGTTTTCCAGAGAAGAGATTGGGCATTCCCCATCTGAATAGCAAGAGCTGCCTCAGCATGAGTACTGTAACTGACGAAACCAAACCCTTTATCACACTGGACACAAACCTCCTCTATCACTCCAGTCCTAACAGCATGGAAGTGGCGATGGTGATCAAGTTGTGTTGCCTGTGGAATCACCAAGGGTCATAATGATTAAAATAGCAACAGAAATTGCTGCAGAATTCAAACATACAGCTTACATGTATATATATATACATTTTGTTAAAACAGAATTTTTTAAAAGCTAAAATATTCTTAAATCTCTAACCTAATAATGCCAAACGTGAGGAAGAGAATAACTAAAAACGTTAATAGAGGTAATGTAAAGTTTCAGCAATGCAAATATCGACAGTGGACTTAATAAATATAGCTTTTGTTGCATAAATCATAACAAGCTTGCACACTTTTCAACTAAATAGCGGTTGGTGAAATGGTATTTTGATAAATATATATATATATACACACATATATATAATAAAGGAAGTTTCTTGCCTCTGAAGCAAGGTTACCCACATAAACAGTAAGTATACTGAGGATTGTTCTCAGGAGCATCACTGTTACATGTCTCTTTACCGTCTTCTGTACAAGTAGGATAAAACACATTGGTCAATTCCTGGTATTATATTAGTTCACTGGGAAAACAGAATACTTCACAAACACTAAGTTTTACAAGTACAACCATCTATAAAATCTTTCTAGGACTTCAAAAGGCTGCAGAAAAATATCAGAATCCACCCTAAAACCAAGAATTAGAAGCTAAACATAAATTGCTTAAATTCAACCATCTCTCATTGTTTCATGAACTACAGTTACTCACCAGATGAGCCATTCGTTAGTTCCACCAAACTTTTTGCATCTGAGCTTTGCTTCTCTTCATTACCACCAGCACCTTTTGTTGCCCAGTTACAACGTATT